ATGTCGCCACGAGATTTAAATTTAAGCTTGATAAAGTCTTCATCAGGGAGTTGGGTAAGAGCCGCATGTCTGGAAGTCAAGTATCTTAATGCTAAACGCTGACTATGAGACTCGGTGGATCCACCAATGGCATTTTGATGCTTTTTTTTCCATTTGTAAAAAGTGAGGTCGTTAATGCTAAGAAGTTGATCCCCAACATCGATTCGATTATAGGCGTTATCACGTAGTAAGTCAGATATTCCACGATTGACGAGTTTACTGACGACGATTGTTGGGTTTTTGATCATATTGCCTGGACCATCAATAAATTGGAAATAAACTCCTATGGTAACGAAAAAACAACTATACGGACCAGCTAATGTCATGGCAGTATGTACGTCGCGAGCTCGAGCAAATGCATCCAGTAACCCAAGCTGGAGCTGTTCATCAGTAAGGGTTCCGATATTGTTTCGGATATGCTCGAGAGCAGGAAACGGATTTGCTTGTTGGCCATGATGCTTTATTTTTGATTCAAGATTGACCCATGCCTGGACATGTTGAATCATTGGAGTTCGATTGTAATGTGTTGGTCAGTTAATAATATGCTGCAATATATTGTATTGGTTATGGTATCAGATTGTGATGGAAATGACAACTTGCCTTGAATATATTTTCGGCATTTGACACTAGAACATTTCGCTGTTCAAGAGTATATGGAAAAAAAGCCAACAATCCAGCATCGCGATAAAAGTTGATGGGTTTATACTCGGACCATTTAGTTATAACAGCAGCAGGTGGTGTTGATGTTGATGTTGTAGGAGTTTGAGCATTGATGCAAGATATTGCAGCTAAAACTGTTACCAAAAAAAGAACCATTTAAAGCAGTATGCAATGCAAAGTATGATCAATCAGTTGTATAACTCGCAATCGATGATGCAGCTGGTATTATATTGATGAAAGGTTATTGTATAAAGCATGTATTTTTGATTCTCAATATATTTATAGTTGTCTTCCAGTTTATCCTCCCTTTCCATTCAAGCTGCTTTCAGTCGTCCTTTAGCTTGGTTCACCCTATTCTAGTATCACGTCACAAGCACCTGAATATTGTTTCCGCAGTACTGCGCTGGCTTGTGCCGAAATAAATAGACACAAACCATGTTGAAGCAATCAGACATTAACAGCTTATGAACTGTTCAAATGCCAACCACAGGAATCAATCCTACTGGCTAAATTACCTCCGAGTACAATTGCTTATCATCAAATATTATACTTGTTTGAGCCATAAGCCACAACTAACCAATTATTATAAGAACTAAGACAATGTCTTATTAAATAAAACATACTCTGAATACAAAGCCTAAAGCCTTTGGCATTAACTCTGAACTATCTATTAAGTTCATCTCTCTTTTTTGTTGACTTTGACTTACCTGACAATTCCCTAATTATCGTTCAAGCTTTCTTTTGACCGACCTTTTTTACAGTGACAGATTATATACTATTACATTATACTAACTGAAAGACTCGATACCTTTATCTTCTATACTTTATTTTTACGATAAACACCTACATTCATTAATAAACCATTCATACATAGCAACTGTCCCTTAACAATGATTGCTTGTAACCATATAGTTTTAACGACTTGGTGATAGTCTGTTGTAGGTAGCGTGAATACAGCTGTCTTGACGTAAAATGCAACATTAAACTGCCGAAATACATGATAAACAGTCTCATGTTGAATGTGTGCTAATATTACTGGGTTTCTACTTTGTGTCCATTTTTGTACAAAAATACAGAACAAATACTCATATTTCTGTTCCAGTACATTGCATGCTTTTGGCATTTCTTCAATCTCCAAACCAAACACTACAATACTGTATGATCATC